CGCGCGCGCGTCTAGTTCCGTTTCGCGAGAAAGCCGCGAATGCGACGACGAAACGAGAAAACGCGAGAGACGTTGGACGGGCGAACGCGTATCGGTGAAAGATCAACGGCGATCGGAATTTTCTTCGGTCTTCGTCTCTTTCGGATATTCCGCTTTCGGGCGTTTCGAGAGGCATCGTGGGACGAGACGCGGTTGGAAATGGAAAGTGGGAGAAAGAACGGGCAACGGCGGAGGCGAAGAGGAAAGAAAAAGGAGGAAAAAGAGAGAGATTCGATTTGACCCAGCTACGAAACGAAGATGGAAACGAACGAACGGACGGACGAGAAGGCTGTTTCGATGGATTCGATCGAAAGTCAAGGCAAACGCGCGGGCGTTCGTTGCTGCGCGATTACGCAACTCGACTCGTCTCGGGCAATCGCTGGAATTTCTCGTCTACCGTGGAGTAACGCGAACGGCTGTGCCGTCATTCTCAAACGTTCGGAGACCTGTTTTGCCGCGAGTCGTGATTCGACCCGACCACTTGCGGTGCAAATAGACCGGTAGATAATGGAGACGGACTAAGAATAGAGCCTTTAAAACCCGTTAATAGAGCGTGACCCGCCTCGCGTTCGCGTTCGTTACACCGACTTTCGATCGCGATCGCGATCGCGGTCCGCGGTCGGATCGGTTAGCGCGAATCCGCGAATCGAGCGACACCGCCGCGTCCTTTGTCACAGCGAACTCACCTATTATGCTTTCCGAAGCGCCGCACCGACCGATCGGCGAAACGAAAGCCAGGGCCGCAACTAGGATCAACGGTTTCGACAGCGATCGTCTCGTCCTCATCCTCGACATCGATATCGTTCCGCTGTGCGCGTCGCCTTCGCTTCGGTCTTCCCCTTCGCCGCCGATCACGACGATTTACTAGAAAAGAGAAAGCAAAAGCTTCCGTGAGTGATCGTCGCGTTTCTGCGCTGGGCCACGTGCCGCGATTTCCTCGCATTTCGCCAGCAACGACCATCGAAATCGGAGAAACGGACTCGACGAATGGATTTACGGGAAAAAGCGCGC